GGCTAGCACACATTTCTCAGATGATGATATATAAATAGCAAATAAATACATGAGGAAATGTTCATCATCACTGATCATTCGAGAGATGCAAATTAAACCAGCATTGAGATTTCATCTCACTCTGGAAAGAATGGCTGCCATCAAGAAATCAACTAATAATAAATGTTAGTGAGGCTGTGAGGAAAAAGGAACACTGCTCCACTGTTGGTGGGAGTGCAGACTGGTCAGCCACTGTGGAAATCACTATGGAGATTCCTCAAAACACTAGGATTGGAAGTTCCATTCAATCCAACTATTCCCTTCCTGGATATTTTCGCAGAAAAATTGAAAAGTCTTGTCACAGTGATATATGTGCACCCATGTTTATAGCAGCACAATTTGTAATAGCTAAATCTTGGAAACAACAAAAATACCCGTCAACTGCAGAGTGGATGAAAAAGATGTGTATTTTTATACAGTGGAGTATTACTTGGCTATAAAAAAGGACGATCTTGAAGCCTTTATATGTAAATGAAGGCAACTTGAGACTATCCTCATAAGTGAAATAAATAAGATTCACATTTGTAAATATCACATTGTCTCTCTAGTATAAAAACTGAAAGAGTAATAAGATCCAAAGTGTATAATAGAAATTGTGAAAGTAAAAAGGAGGGAAAGTGCTCTAAACGATATAACTGTATGTATCAGTGTGTAAGATAGATGAACATATTATATTACATAACATCGATGACATATTTTATTAGATAATTGAACAGAATAGTTTGCACCGTGAATGTCTGAGTATCTGTCCACCTTTGATCCTTTGATTTTGTAACTTGAACATCTATTTCTAAGAGGACAATATGTAACTCATCAAGTAGTAATTTCTTAGTGTTAGTATTTTCTTCGAAACTATGTAATACCTCTACCCATTTTTCTGTTTTGTGTTGGTTTTTTTCTTTAAACAAAAAAATCTGCTTCAGAAGAAGATAAAATCAGATAGTAACAAGTATCAGTCAGACTATAGAGAAGTCAGAACCTTTATACACTGTTTGGTGAAACAGTACATCTATTTTGAAAAGTAGCCTAGAAAGTCCTCAAAAACATAAAATTAAATTGTCGTATAATCCAGCAAATCCACCCCTGGATATATACCCAAGAAAACTGTATGTCTGTATGTCCGTCTATCTATGTATATATATGTGCATCTACACAAATACTTTTACACAAGTGTTTATAGAACTTTTGAACATCAAAAAACGTAAATAACCCAATGTTCATCACCTTATGAATGAATAAAGATACGCTGCATCTTTAAGGTAAAATATGATTTAGTTATACAAAGGAACGAATTACTGATGCATGCTATAACATTCTGATACATGGATTAATCATCGAAAACTCATGCTAAGTAAAATAAGCCAGTCACAAAGGCCACATATTATATGATTCCATTTATATGAAATGCCCAGAATTGATAAATTTGTACAGTTAAAAAGTAGATTCGTGGTTTCTTATGTTTAGGTTTAGTGAGATGGAATGGAGAATAAGAAGCAAATGGCACAGGATTTGGGTTTCACAGATTTCTGTAAGGAAGCAATGTATAAAATGAGATTTGGGGATAGTAATGCTTTTAGGAGATATTAATATTTAAATGTTTGCTTTAAATAATTGTTAAAGGTGTCTTCAAAATAAGCAGTTTCATACACTGAAAAGACAAAAAGACTTAAAACTCCAAAGAGAAAATTATTTCAACAAATAGAATAACTCCCATCACCTTCTATATGATTTGTAGGGCCCAAAACATTCAGTTTTATGAAATACAGGGTCATTATAAAGTTAAGGAAGTGAACTAGAAGACCCTACTGCAGTTTCCCTGTGCACGCAAAACCCTTCTCTTCCCGGGTGAAGTTTGGGGCCACTTGGTGGTGGTCCTTGTTCTATCTTGACTACTGATGGGGATGATTCTATGTCCCTTTGACAGGAAAGAAGTTCTTGACAAAAGCAGCAATTCCAAAAAATCCCCAGTTAGCTTCTGTAGTTTTTTGTTTGTTTATTTGTTTTGGAGAAGTACCAGTGTAACAGGGAAGACTACCCAAGAAAATACTGAAGGCACGAAGTCCCACCTTTCACTCCTCTGGAATTCTCCTCATTGCCTCAGTATCTTTTCTCTACACAGTATTTCCACTGTGATCTTGTTTTCTGTAATAGCTAAGTAGAGGGCCAGGTCCAAAAGAGTTGAATGCAGTTTTTCATGGCGATTTCATTATATCCATTTATTGCTTCTTCTTGCCCAATATCCATTTCTTGCTTTCAATACCACAGCTCAGATTTTTGCTTAAAAGGCAATGTGCCTAGAAATTTTATGCTTCCTCAGACTGTCTTGCAAGTATGCATGGCAGGTAGTATTGTGTCAACAATAAGGGATTCTGGAAATCTCTGCTTTAGTGATACAGACGCCACACTTCCTTTTACGTCTTTTTCCCCAGAACCTGGGAACAAGGCTGGAGCCTGAGCTATCATCTTTGCACTTTGATGAGTGCTTTATGTGAAGAATGATGTTAGGGAAAGTTAGAAGGAAGTTTAGCACTGAGGTGGCTGTAGGGCTGGTTCCTATGTCTGAATAGCCCATTTCCAGACTCCCACCAGGTGACAAAGCCAATCCTTATTTGACTGTGGTTGGGGGTCTGTGTTACAAAGCTATTTACCACAAGCATAAAGTTTGTGTCTTTGGAAGCATCCAAAAATTTTAAAATTTTAATACAGAAAGTCCAATTCTTATGTAAATAAAAAAAAATTCACAGCACTCCAAGCTGTGTAACCCACTAGGAAGAAGAGAATAAAGTCACTGAACGGAAGTAGTACCAAGGGGTGATTTCAGTCAGTCTCTGAATGCCTCATCTTCCCTCCGTGGACCCATTTCCCAAGCCATCACAGTAAGCATATTCCAGGTAAAACTATGTAAACACATTTCAAGACAAGTTCTTTGGTAACTTCTTCCAATAAGATTCCCATGCCTAAATTCCTCCCACATGGAAATTTTGCTGGTGCATAATCTCCTAGGCAACTCCATCCACTGTTAAAGTTATGGTTCAGAGTCCATTACTACATATAGCTTTGCAACTTTCAAGTAGACAAGATGTGGCTCAAGAAACATTACGAGATTTTTCCACCTTTGCCCCAGCTGATTTGTTCTACCTCAAGATCTGTATTTTATTTTTTACTCACAATGCCTCGACCTCCAAAACAAAAATCTTTGAATTTTCTCTTACAAAATTCATTATCCTTTGGGGTAGACACAGCCATGACTGAAAACAGGAGCACTTATCCAGTAAGTGTAGCTCAGATAAAATAACATACAGTATTGATAAGCCAAATTTGAGGGAAAAGGACAGAATAAGGCAAAATTCCTCTAGCTACTCTTGTCTGTGTGAAAGCAAATTCTGTTTTGCATTGAAACTTACAGGTTTCTTTTTCACCCGCTGGTACTAGGAATTAAACCCAGAGCCTTGACACTGAGCTAAGTCATCAGCCTTTTTGTACCTTTCATTTTGAGAGAGGGTCTTGCTATGTCACTAACTTGCCCAGGCTGGCCTCGAATAAAATTATGATCTTCCTGCCTCAGCCTCCCAGAGAGCTGGAATTACAGGCACCAGCCACCAAGGCACTGTAGGTTGCTTTATTATCACAATAAGATAATGGCCTTTCAAGTCAGAAAATCACACACGAAAAAGTAAATTATATAATGAATTGTTTTATCCTATTACTAAAAGTTGTAGACTTTCAAATAAAAATGTGTGTCAATCAGAATTACATAATATTTTCATTTTAGAACTATAATTGCTTCATAAAATTTTCTGGTCTTTCTAGTATTTCTCAGTGAAACTTTTGAAAAGTAATAGAATTCGAAGAATGGTAATTGATTCAAGTTTGAAATAAATGATTATTGCATAACTGTTATATTCTTTCATGCTAATTTACACCTGTTTCAGAGAGCTTTTCTTTTTAATCGTTTCGGGTTTTCTTCTGCTTCTGCTTCTTCTACTACTTCTTTCTCCTTCTCCTTTTTATGATTTAGGGAGAAAAACATACCTCGCTCTTTTCTTTAGGTAGGCAGTCAATTAGCAAAGAGGCAGCTGGGGAGTTTAAAAAGGATTTTTAGCATCACCAAGGACATAGGCCAAAGAAACATGAAATACACCCATTTCCCCTGCATCCTTTATTAAAAGCAGTTTGAATTTTGGCTTGTACAGTCGTCATCACCCGGTGTTAACCGTCTGCACCAGGTAAGCCATACAAATCTGGGCAGAAGCAATCTTTTGGCCAAGTCCAGCGGCAGGAAGCCACCGTCGCGTGCCTGTGGATACGCGGGGATCCGGCTCCAACACGGCGAGGGAGACAGAGGGCAGAGGCATCCAGACCCCTCCGCTGCGCACCTGATGGGCACGCAAAGCCTCCACTTTGCTCCAGAGCGCTTTGTTTCTCCTGGACCCACGGTGTTTAAAGTCGTTAACGAGCGATACGTTGCGCTCATTCTTTGGGCTCTTTAAGTTTGCAATCCAGGGCTTTGTGACACACGAAAATTCTTCACCGGTTATTTCCACGTCCGTGTCCGTCACCGAGAGCGCACCTCTCTCCCAGGACGGCCCCGGAACGGATCCACGACGCGGAGGGACAGATCGCCGCCTGCAGCCGCCGCCGCGGGACCGAGGGCCCGACCCAGCACCGGCGGCCGCCCACCCGAGGCGTGCCCCAGGCCCCGCAGGGCTCGCAGCCTGCGCCGAGGTCTCCCGGGCTTAGACAAAGACGGGGCTGGGGAAAGCCGGGCCAGCTGGTACCCCGGGCAGGCTAGCGGAGCAGCCCGTAGCGCAATGCGGTCGAGCCCGCAACGCTCTCTCCACCGCGCGCCCAACTTCTGCGCGAGCGTCCGCACAACTCGCGGGAAGTTTAGGGCGCGCGCCGGGGGTCGAGCGCAGCGCGGAGGGCGGGCTCGCGCACCGGCCCGGCGCCGCCCCGCGTACCTGCTGATGTAGCCGTCCCCGTCGCCGTCGCACGTCTGGAACAGGCGCCGCACGCGCTCCTCCTCGCCGGTGCTGGCTGAGTCGCTGCTGCCGCTGCCGCTGCCGCTACCGCCGCCAACGCCGCCGCCCGCCGCCGCCATCATGCGCGGGAGGCGAGCGAGGACGCGCGGCCGCGGCGGGAACCCGCCAGGCGCTCCGCCGCCCGCGCCGCCGAGCTGCCGGCCCCTGAGCATGCCCAGTGCGGCGCGCGCCGCGAGCGTTCCGGCTCTGCGGGTCTTCCCGGGCCGGAGGACGGGTGCCCGGCCACGAAGGGAAAGCGCGGCTTCTGCAGTCCGGGAGCCAAGGGAGGTCCCGGGACTCCAGTGGAGCTGACGCTCGCGAGCCTCGGGGAAGGGCCCGGACCTGGGGACGCTTCAGACCGAACCGCGGGGATAGGGGTCGCTTTTTCAAAAAAAAAGATAAAACACTCCTATTTGCAAACTCAAAAACGGTGTGAGTGTAGTCTCCAGGAACGCACTGGTTCCCGGACCCGTCGCCCCCAGTGAACTTTTGATTTGCGCGAGGGAACTTTTTTTTTTTTTTTTAATTGGGCCTCAAACTCATGACTTTGTGCCTGCAGGCCGGCGCTTACACCACTGAATTAACTAAATCCCTGGCCACGTCAGGGAATTTTAACCTCGCAGTCCGATTTGGCTTTTGCGCTGTAATAGGAAAAATCTCTCCCGCGTGGCTTTGCTTGCGTCCGGGTCACTGCTCCCGGGCAGGCGGCGCTGGAATTTTCTTCAGGGCAGCGAACGTGGTAGTCGGCCTCATTTGTTCCATTCTAGACCTAAAAAGTGTCTTTCATTACCAACTGCGTGACTGGGGAGGTAAATAGGTAGGGCTTGTTTTTGGGTGAAAGGAAAAGGTATGGAGTGTAAGAATGCCAGACACCTACTGAGTGCTCCGAAAAGGTCAGCGTGCTTATCCCTGCCTTAAGATAAGAAAACAGGGACTGAGACTTAGGTTCCAAGCCCAGTGTCAGGAGAGAGGCAGGCAAGAGCAGGAGCTGTTAAACACTGCACTCTCTTGTTACCGTAGCAGAAAGGGAAGCACAGTGAACCAATTTGTGGTTTAGAGAATGACTCATTCCTGTGTTCCAGGCTTCCCGCCAGAGGTCTGTGAAGTCCTGTGGTGATGTAAAAACACGTTCGCCAAACTCTTCGGTGCACTTCTCATCAAGAAGTGTTTTTTGTCTCTCCAGGAATCCAACTGGTACCTTATGACCGCCTTGAATTCTGAGGCAAGATTAGAAAATGCATTTCCACCTGGCTCTCTCCCTAGGGATAACTTGCCTTTGAAGTTCTGAGCAGCCTTGAAAGAAGTCTGGCTACTCCAGAAGCAGCCATGCTGAAGAAAGCATGTGGAGACAATGTAGAGAGAAAAAGAGATGTCCAAAGAGCCCCACTGTTCCAGCCTCTGGAAGTTTAAGCCTCTCCATCAGATGCCAGTGAAAGATGATGCTGACCCTAGTCGCCGCATCTGCTTGAAAGCAAAATCTACCTGAGCTCAACCAACCCTCCAGAGCTGTAACAATTATGAAAAGATTGTTGTCGCTTTAAGCTACTATGTTTTGAGGTGATTTGTTTATACAACAATAGACAATTTATTTATGGATTAAGTCCCTGTGTCTTAGGACTGTGTGCAAGGTCAGAAGGAAGGGAACCCTCGCCCTGTTTTTTCTCCTTTCCACCCATCCACCTAGTCCTACTTTAACTCTTTAATTCTATAAGTTCCCAGTATTTCAGGGCACTTTCAGTGAATAAGATATCACCTTAGAAAATTTGTAAATCTACCCAATAATATTTGCTTAAAAAGATGCTACTGGTATCACAAATATTTCTAACTACAATAGGACAAGGATCTAAACCATTATTTATATGGTACATGCTTTCCAATTTTTATAGAGTAAAACTTTATTGTCACCTGACAGTATAGCCAGGCCAGAGTTACTCTCAAAACCTCTTAAAGAATGAATAGTTTGAGATTTAAATAGGAAAAATATATGTTCTTTTCTAAGTATGAATTATCTACAGAGGATCTGGAAACAAAGAATTTTCCAAGATTTGAGTGGCTCTTTCTATAACTACATTCTTTATATACAGTAAATGTGGGAATTAAGCTCATCCAGTGTTATTTTAAAATAAAAAATGTTTTTTCCTCAAAGAATGTGCATAGTAGTTCTGGGCACTTACATTTAAACCAATTTAAATGAATCTGAACACACCAAAAGTGAATTTTGACAAATTTCCTAAGCAACATATTTTTACTTAGGTAATTCAGAAATGTCTGAACAGATAGGTTCAGCTTTCCAAAAAAGAATTATTTCAGAGTTGCTATGATGCATATGAAACTTCATCGCATAAGAATGGGGAAGAGAGTAATATTGTGTATCATTAAAAAGAGATGCCATGTGACTATAAAGATAATAAATATAAGGTAAGAAGTTGGATTGTGAGCAATAGTTATGACTGTAAATCTAACAGTACTGGTTATGTATGCCATAATTTCAAAGATTTCATATACTTATCGGATGTGAATACATAGCTCAGTGTGTTTTTCCTTATCTGGTCTTCTCAAATTCCTCTTGGTTGTAATTACCCTTTATATTTATTTGTTCATTTCAAAATTTACTGTGTATAAGATATATATATGTCAGTTAAAATAAAGACAGCATCAGCACTTTGCAAACATGTTTATTTGTTGCTTCCAAATTCCATTTATCTGAACTAAAACTACATGAAAGTGTTAGAGTGGGAAACCCATGAAACTCTCAGCCTACCTTTCTCTCTAGGGTATATCTTTTTTAAGTGTGAACTCTTTATTAGTACATGCTTGTATTACATTCTTTGTATAGAGTTAGTACATGTACTTAACACATTCTTTTTTTCACCTTTCCCTTCCCTCCCTTCCATATCCCTCCCATCTCCCTACATCTCTTGATCCCCTTCTTCTAAGAAAGGTCTATCATCCTCTACCTATTACCTATCCTGTATTTTGCTCCTTATACTGTACTTTTGTCATATAAGAGACACCATGTGATATTTAAGCTCGTGTATTTTAATAAGCCCTGCAAAATCCCTGTAGTCACAGGAAAGCCTTCCTTTACTACGCCAAGTCACACACATATTAAAGCTCTCTTAAAGTTCATTCTGAAAACGAGAATCATATATTTCAGTGATGGTGAAACTTCTAGAGATTGAGTGCTCTAAATGCAACCTGAAACCCACTCCTTTATCTTAAAGTATCAACACTACAATTAGACCTGAATACAGTAGTTTTAGTTTAGAAAAAATAACTGCTATCTGATGCTCAGCTGCCTGGGTGATGGAAATGTGGCTCTTGCATGCTGACAAAGAGGGCTGTGGGTGTGTGCCATGGCATGTGTGCCATAGGTTCACCACCACTCAAGTTTGCTTGTGGTTTGTCTTCCCCTGCATCTTGCCCTGTAATATTGATTATTATTGAATGAGGCTAAGAATTTCTGAGAGAACATATTGAGGTAGAATTAGGAAAACTTAGGTTTTAGTGAGTCTTTACCATGAATTACTAAAAGTGTTTAAAACCTTACCTTAATGTTACATAGTAGAGGTAGATATTTGTTAGCCCTATTGATGGTATTTAAGCAAAGGAAAATAAATTCCGAAAAAGTAGAAGTAATGTACCCATTCAAAGGAAGAAGTCAGAATTGACTTCATACCTATCTGTCAAAACCATGTTTATTTTATATTAAAATTAAGGTCTGTGCTATGCAATATCATAAAATTCAGTGAATACTTAAATTTTGAAAAGTATATTACAGTAAATGACATTGCCATTAATCTCCCTCAAAACATTCCTCCTTACTTCAAATATACTTATGATATCTTGCCACTTTCCAAAGCACTTTTAAAATTTCTTTTTTTCAGATCTTTAATTTTTTTCTTTTTAGTTTTGCTAGAACATGTTTGCAATTCATACGTTTTACAGTCATCTTGGAGAGTGGTTCCATGTATTTTTTTAATCTCCTTCTTCCCCTTCTTCCAATTCCTCTATCACATGTCATTCTTAATGATAATATTAGTCTTAGCTCATGCTATTGTATGTAATGTTTACATTATTTGAGGTTATTAGGATCCTGTTTATGGAATTTTTTTATTTTAAAGATATTACAATACAACAAAGCAAGACAGAACAAAGCCAATCAAGACGATAAAGCAAAATTGGTAGAGAACTTCAGAGCAGGATACTGGGAAAACAATAATAGCTACCATAATACATCTTGTTATGTTCACAATAGTTGTCCGTTCCATATTGCAAAATCAAACCAAAACACAATAAAACCAATCAAAACAGAATATTGCATAAAGCAAAACAGTTAATCAGAACAAAGCAAAACAGTGAAGACAGTATTGAACTTCAAAGATAAGATAGGAGGAAATCCCCCATATTTGCCATATTGCCTATTGTCATCCTCTGGAGAGATACTCAGACTGCTGGGGCCAGGCCTGCATAATCAATCAAACAATACAAGCATTTAGTCGCATTATAGACCTTAGTTGCTATAAACTCAGGCTGTCCTCAAAACCATCTACTAACATCCATCCACTAACGGTGTGGAGGTAGCGGTGGAGGGGTCAGGAGACCCTGGCTTTTCTCTTCCAGGCTCATGCTGCTTACCAGGAAGGCTGGGTCCTTGCTTTCTTGGTTGGTTCCCCAAGTCTCTTCATGGTGGATTCTCGGGAGACACTGGCTTTTTTCATGGAATATCTTTATGCTATTTATTTCCCTTCCCTTTCTTCTCACTTCTCATGCTTTTTTCCCTTGGATCCTTTCTCTATTGCAAGAAATAGGTATCTGTCATGGTTTATGTCTGTGTCCCCAGGCCTCATGAGTTTGCATTGTGTATTTGTGATTGGTTCATTGTCTAGTCCTTGGATTGATGGTGTCAGTGCTCCACCCACATAGGGGTGGAGCCAGGATGTGATGTAATGGCAGGAAGAAGGTGTGTCTCTCTTTGCTGGTTCAAGTTTGCTGTCAGCGGCTGCCATGAACTGCGGTCCAGCCATGCCCCCCTGTCTTGGAGCCAACCGAGTGTGGACTGAAACCTCCAAAAATAAATAAATAAATAAAACTGTAAGAAATAAACCTTTCCTTTCCCAACTTGGGCATCAGGTATTTTGTCTCAGCGACGAGCATAAAGTAACTAAGACAGTATCCATTCTTTTTTTTTTTTTTTTTTCCTGGTACCAGAGAGCGAACTCAGGACAGCGTGCTTGCAAGGCAGGCACTTATGCTGCTGAGCTAAATCCTCAGCCCTGGTATCCATTCTTTTTTATCCTCTTTCTTTGTACTTTTCCTCACTCATATAAGAGATACCATACTGTATTTAAACTTGTGTGGCTGGTCTATTGTGCTGTACATTACAGTTTCCAGGTATATCCATTTTCCTACAAATGTCTCAAATCTGTGATACCACACTTTCTTTATCCAATCATCTGTTGACTGAGATGAATTTTCCTCTTAAGGATGCTTTCATCATGTCCCAGAAATTTTGATGAGTTATACCGTCATTGTCATTAAACTCCAGAAATTTTTAAGTGTCTTTAATGTCTTCTGTGATCCATTGGGTGTTTAGGGTACATTGTTAATGTTCTAGGAGTTTTGCTTTTCCCAAAATTATACCAGTGGTATGGGGTACTATGACAGAGTCCAAATCACTAGCCATG